CCGGCGTTTGTTTTTATGCGTTCCTCCCACTGTGAGCGGTCCAGATTGTGCCGTGTAAGAGCAGGGCTGCATGAAGCTCAGCAGTGCTGTACCCTGGCGCCGGTCCACCCTGTCAGGGCCGGCATTTGGTCGCTGTGACGAGGTCTTTCTCCGCACAGCTCCTCCAACACAGCGGGTCAGAAGGGTCAGCCCTTCTGAAGCAGCCTTCGTCACACAGTTTGGAGTATCAGGCGGTACGATCGCATAGCCCGAGTCTCTGTGACTCACAAGTGAACTTCATTTTCCAAAGTAAAGAGAAAAAATAGAAAAATAGCAGCAGGAAGCGAATGAGAAGAGAGAATAGGTGGAAATCTTTCAATTTGTAAAAGCTCTTTAATTAATACTACATCCATTTGTCATTTAAGTCGAGCAAAAATAATTTTCTCCTCCATCTCCAGCTTATTAAAAATAAGGAGTTTCTGCTTGATTATATTTCACATGATGATAAGCTGAATTTATTTAGTTTGAGAGTATTGGTTCTTGGGAATCTACTCAGCATGTTTCACTGTTTTCTGAGAGCAGGAGCCTCACTGTAAATCCATCAGAATTAAAACACATCGCCGTGCTCTCCGTCATGTATGTAGGTCATCGTTACTACAGTCCAGCTGAGGCAGAGCAGATGAGTAACGGAGCTTTATTCACCAAATGTTTGAAGCCACTTCATCGCCTTCGCCACGAGGATGTGTAATCCGCTTGAATTTAGCTAAAGGGTGGATGTGCTACGGTCAGCCACTGTTGGTTTTAAAGCCACTTTAAAATACCTACAAATATTAAGAGAGTTTTTTACCCATTAATGAGTTAAATATTTTGTTTGCTGAGAAATATTTTAAAAGCTCGGTTCTGTTGTAGTATGCTTTGTACTTATTTCTCTTCTGCATCCAGTGGGGCTACATATTGACATGTTTGATGTTTACCCTGATAGCAAGATAGCTGAAAACATCATGAATAAAGCATGGCCTGCTGGAGACGTTTTGAAGTAATACCTTCTATTTTAAAAATACAGCTACTCCAGTCGAATGCAGAACCAAATATTTCGTACCTCTGTGCCCTCCAGCGGTTTACCGTCTCGATGAACCGCCCTTTTTGTACTTGTTGCCCAGTGAAATGTCTGCATCTTAATATCAGCTGAGGCGCTGGGCACTGAGATAATGTTTCCTGAGCCGACTCGTATGAGCCTCAGACGACCACATTTTCACGTGGATCTTGTGTGCAGGACCTCCGCGACACGACAGCCACTGAACCGAGAACACTTTTTGCCCCAACACTCACTTTTAAACACGTACCAAGTACACGGTGACCTCAGAGACACAGGCTTTATTGTGATACAGTCATATGTTGGTGAATAGCAGCAATGTTACAGTACAGGCCGGTGTTTCACACTGCCGACCCTCTCTGCACTCACAATCTGCCTCTTTCTCCTCACAAACACACACCCTGTGGTGTCATGTGGGCGCGTTACACTCTTGGCCTTGGACGTTGTTGTGTAACCTGCCTTTACATCGTGGCTTCTCGGCCCGGTCGAGCATTGAAAGTGGACTTCGGTCCTGTTACGTAACGGCTCTCTGTGTGATTTCCGCCTCTCGTCTGCAGCACCAGAGGACGGGATTGGAGCATTCAGCGGCCGTGTCGCCATCACCAGCCTCTGTAGTGCAAATAAGTTGCTCTTCTCATTATGATGAAGTGACATTTTATGCCTTGGTTTTGTTTGATACATGGCCAGCTGAAATGTTAGCGCCTGACAGCTAATTTACCTTCAAATTAATGGGAACTAAAGGCTTGGGACGATGACACTTTTAATTAAAAATCTGTTCAATAATTTGTAAAATGTCGCGATCCAGTTTGAAAAAGGTTAGATGAAATACTTGAGCAACTTCAAAAGCTGTCTAATAAGTAAATTATCAGTCTGTTGATGAAGTGGAATAACTTAAACTTAGTGTTTAGTACTCCTCAGCACAGGTTTGCATGCTAAAGCTCTGAGCTAAGATGCTAAACATGTGTGTTGGTACCACCTCTGGTCCTGCAACACGTTAGCATTGTCCTTGTTAGCATTTAGGTCAAAGCACCAACATCTGAGAGCTGCTGGCATGGCTGTGGGCTTTGAAGTCCCTTCCCATTGAATGATGGGATGATTTGGCAGCTTTCCCCCGCAGGAACTCGAGGCAAGTGGGAGTTGAAATGAACGTTTACAGGAACAACCCTGTAAGCGGTTCTTTCAGCTCTTCTGTTTCCATTGTGGTATCGGATCTGACAGCTTAAACTCTGAACGTTAACTCTGAGAGCACCGAAACAGATAGGAGTAGAGAAAGGGCACTTGTTGTTTTCTCCGAGTTTAACTAACCAGCCTGTTAAGGGACAGCCGTGGCAGTCAGGACATCGAGTTCCAGTAGAAAAATCTGTAGGAAATCAATAAGATCTGTAAACGGCAGCAAATGTATTAGACGTTAACGCTTCAAACACTGAGACGACGGACCAGCAACAGACCACGAGTACGCATCCTGCACAGTCTGAGTGAGACACCAGTGTGTGAATGATGCAAAGAAATATTTTAAGGTGGAAATGGCACCATAGAAATACACAGCAGATGAGGATGTTTACACATTTTAATACCGAGCCCTGACAAATGTGATTAGGAATGAAGATGCGCTTTGCAGTTTAATTGGACTACAGCGTCTGCCGATGGCTGCAGCACCCAACTGAACTTTCACCACAAATCTGTTGTTTGATGTATGCGTCCAGAAGCAATTTACATCTGTATAATTTATGGACGTATCAGTCAACGTTTCCCATGAAGAGCATTTCTGGTGTTGTTCATAGTTTCCTTGTGAAGTTGTTTCATCTTGTTGGATGGATGGATGTTCTTGCCCGGTGGTTCAGCGGTGGCACCGTTGCCTCACAACAAGAAGGTTTTAACTTGCTGCTCAGCTGCTCTCCAGAGCCGTGCGTGACAGGTCAGACGGTGATTCTAAATTGTGAGTGTGAGCGTGAATGGTCGTCTGTCTCTCCGTGCTGGCCCTGCGACAGACTGGCAACCTATCCAGGATGTAACCCGCCTTCCAGCCACAGTAAACTGGGATGGACTCCAGCCTCCCCACCACCATATGAAGGGTAAAGCTCGTGATACCCCGCACCACGAGAATATTTAAGTCAGCTACAAATTTCACCGTCCTGCAAAGCAAGACGATGTAAAGTCAAAGCCTCCACTTATTGACTGCACGTCTCTCCAAATGACTTGAGCTCATAAATTGTCCTAATGAGGCCACAGTACGGCAGCCTGACCTTGTCCGCTGCTCCGTCTGCACTCGGCGCTGTTGCTTAATATAGTGCCTTTCTTTACTGACACAGAGAACGGGAAGCCGAGCCTCGACTGCCGTTGTGTTGTTGTGTTTGCGCTGCGTTGGGGGTTGGACGGTTTGCGACTGCAGCGGAGCCACGGGGGACGACTGCTGGCCGTCATTTGACTGGTCTGAAGCAGGGAGCTGTTACTTAGAGCAGCTCGCTCACGTCAGCATCGTCTGTAGAAGAACAACAGAAACAATCACAGTCTTTGTAGAACTTTGCCAGATGAATAATGCAGTTTAAGAGTTTTGCGCTGCTGTTGCTATGTGAAAAATAAAAGTGCAGTTTATCCATGGATGGTGCAGCCCTTCACAGGAGGAAACCTCTCCGTCTCATTTCTGGCTGTAAAGATGAAAAATGGAGGTTCCTGCATCGTTCTTGTTTATTGCCAGAACAGAAGCTTCCTCAAGAGCAGCATAAAACATTTCAACAACATTAAAGTCTTATAATAGAACGCGGCCTCCTACATTACCTGATGACCTTTTTGACGAAACAGCCGCCGGCCACAGTGACATTTACAGAAAAGGCAATTTCAGGATTTCTGTAAACAGAAATGTGGTGATTTTTTTCTATTTTAAAACAATAATAAGAAAAAGTTGACTGAAGAGAACCATCGACGTCTTTTTCTAAGCTTAGATGGTAAATATTTTCTGGTTTAGATGCTTTTCATTCAAAATATTAGCTCCATATATGTTTGACGAGCTAAGCAATATAGAAAATAGTCGTCTGATTAATTGCTCATAAAGATAACTGCTGATTACGGCGCTACAGATCCAGCCGCTGTATCCGACATACGGCGTTTACTGAAGTTGGAAGGAGTGACGCTGGGTGAATACAGCACTGCAGAGAAACAGAACACAAGAAAGGGATATATATATATTAAAGTGAATGGTATCCGGTGAGCGTGGCTGTCCTCTGTGCTGCGTATATCTTCAAATGCGAGCAGACCGACGGAGCACACGCTGCAGGGCCAGCCCGCTCGCTGGGAACGCCATACTGCTGACCTTCTTCAGAACTGCTGTGTGAGGACTACAGAATATCACACCATCAGACTCTGGTGCAGACCTCCTCCCACCTACAATACCTCTCACGTACTCTGCACCACTCCCCTTTCTTTCTGTAGACACGCCGAAGTAGAGAGTTGAAATGAATAAAACGGTGCTTACGAGACTGAACAGGGTGTCACAAACCATGCATTATTCAAAACTATTTGACTCTTCTTCTTTGGTGTTTTGTGTAATATTCTCATTTGCTGTCTTGCGTAGATTTACTGTAGATGAGGCACCTCAAAACCGCTCTCATGTTTCAGGACATAAATCTAGATCCAGCTGAGGTTAGCAACTGGGGAATCGGAAAACAGCTACTCTGGCTACGTGTGAGTCGAAAAAAAGATGAGAAAATCATCGTAAAAAATTAGAAATTGTGGCTCTGTGAGGTGCTGAATTATTTCTAGGCTGGGTGCTATGACCTCCTGACCTCCAGCCTTTATGCTAAGCTAAGCTAATCATCCTCTAGCTCTACTACAGATGATGAGCTTGGTGTTCTTATTTAACTTTTACCCAGAAACTGAGAAAGCCTGCAGCAAAGCACATTTCTCACTGTTTCCCTTTTGTTTCTCCAAACAGAACCGAGTTCAAGGCCTACAGAGATGTGAAGCCGGTAAAGATGATCCGAGCCCGGTCCCAGTACCTGCCCCCGGATGAGAAGACGAGCCTAGAGACCAGCTACAGCGCCACCTTCAAGGCCCAAGCCCCGCTGCAGCCGGCCGACAACAAGGCCCTGGAGAGGAGGAGGATACGCAGTTTGTACAGCGAACCTTACATAGACCCCAGCAAACAGGTGAGAGCGACGCACCTGTGTGACGCCGTCGTCGCAGAGTTTTAAATCTAGTGAAGGGAAATGAGACCTGAGCAGATATTTAATGACTCTGTAACGTTGTGATATTCTTGCCATGTTCATCTCATTGACAGTTTTAGAAAATGACAAGCTGTGACCGAGTCCTTTCAGCTCAGGCATCTCTTCTCCACTATCCGACACCTTTAGGTTGACAGGTATAGTGTCCCTCGCTCTAAACCCAAAAAGTCTGGAGCCACAGCGGCAGGCCAGGGCAAGCCAGTGAAGAAAGCCAAAGATAAGCAGAGCGCCGCGCTGAGGGGCTCCAAGAAGACGACCTCGGAGAACCAGAGCGAGAACCGGCCGGCGGTGGGGGACAAGGAGAAAAGTAAAGAGATGAACAACAAACTGGCTGAGGCAAAAGAGTAAAAATCATTTAGCACTACTTCTCCTTTTTTTTTTTTTTTTTTCTTATTTCTGGGGGAAAAACAAATACAGAGGCTGCAAAATTAATTCAAGGTTCCCGTCTGTGTTTCCATCTTCCTGTTCTTCCCCCTCCTGCCTCTTTCTTCTGTCCCTCCTCATCCTTCTCCTCTGTCCTCTGTCACTACCTCTTGGCTACGTTTGTACAATAATACTAGAATAAGTCGTCGGGGTTTGATCATGACACGCCACCGCTCCTCCCGCCTCCCGCTACACCAGATCGCTATAGTAACGAGTGGGCGGGAGCATCCTCTTCCCCCCTCTCTCTCCGCCATTTGATGCCACCCACCCACCCCCACTCCGCTCGCCTCCATCTCCAGGTTGCCATGGCTACCGGCTGCCTGGCTAGCCAATGGATGGCTCTCGTTGCATGGGCCCAGCGAAAAAGCAATTCTGAAGGGTTGGCTTTGATCAACCGAGCAGATTGCTTTGTTGAGTTTATCAAGGATTTGTTTCTTTCTTTCCTTCTCTTTATTTTCTTTTCTGGGTTATTCAAATTGGCTCTTTGGATACGATTTCTGCACAAATTAACAGCAAATCTGAAAATCTTTGATAAATGTCCCGCTTGGTTATCGTGAGCGTCTGATCCACGGCTTGTTTTTCTACCTGCTCTGTTATCTTTGCTACTGCTCTCTGTTCAAGTCTGTGTTGGGCAATTTCACCGTCAAAGCTTTGTTACATGTGATTCTGTAATCTCATTTTGAACTGTTGTAGGAAAACGCCTTGTCGTCCCATTCAGCATCGTACGACCCATTCACGCAGTATTTTGTAACACCCAATTTGTTGCCAGCGTACCATCTGGGTCACGCTAAACTGATTATGCATTAAACACCAGCCATTTGCATAGCAGCTGAATATTCCCACTGAATTAGATAACACTGTCGTGCGGCGGTAACGACATCCAACATCAGGGTGACGACGTTTCTCATAATCGTAGAGGTTCAGTGGAGCTGGAGAGCGTTGTGTCGAGTGGTTTGTATCCCGTCTGCCAAGCGCGCCGTGCACAGAGCTGTCACTCTCGCTGGCCATAACTTAGCGTAATCACCTCCAACACAGTCTTTAGCTACGAGACTGATGCCTCTGTGGAGCAGCGGTTGTACATTCGCACTCGCACACACGCCTCCTTTTTGGCTTTTTTTTGTTACGCAGCGTGCCGAGGCTGACCGTAACCAATGTGATTAGACTGCCGCGGGACGATAGCAGACGGCTCAAATTGCCGCTTAATAGCACTTTCCTCATCACCTTTGAACGCGGAGCTTCACGGCCGAGGCACGTATTGAAATAAATCACGCTTCACTGCCATTTGTTCAGTTTAGTTTTGATCTAATTCCTTTATGCTAATGTGTTTTTGTGTTCTAACATAAACCAGTAGGGGCAGCGTGACGTGAGGTCAGCGTAGCTCGGATTCTGAGTCCGTGTTCTACTTCCCAGAAGCCATAAGCATGTCGGTGTGAAGAGCAGTGAGTTCTACCATGTTTGGGTTCATTTTTTTTGCTTAACATGGTTGTGTTTGAATTTCTGGTTAATCCAAATGTTTGAAGTGAGATGATGTCGAAGAAAAGGGAACATGAAGCTGGTTGTACTGTAACTGTTTATCTGTCAAAACTGATTATAACCTCCTTTGTACATATACAGTAGCTTATATTTGTCTATATATGATAGCAGGGCTACATGCTGGCTGACTCCAGCTGCTTTTTCTAAGTCTTTACCGTATATACCGAGACACCTTGATTAGAAGAGCACTGTACAGTCTCGTCATGGGTCTACCCGTCACCTCCCCTCACAATTACCTCACTGTTGTCTGCTATTCAGCATCTTTGCTTCCATTCTGACTTTACTGTGTCTGTTCTCTGTAGTGTATGAGACAGCAGCAACCATAACCGCCACCGCCGCCACCATCATATCTATCCGAGCTGAGCGCCCGCCCCATCAGGGAGGACTCATTAGCATTTTGCAGCCTTTGGTTGGGGGGGGGACGCTTTGTCATGTAACACGAGGGAGGGAGGGGGTTGGGGGGCTTGTAGGGGGCAGTAAATGTACACAGTGCTTAGCACACCACACACCGGTGCTATCTTTGTGATTATTAGGCAAATAAGGATAGAAAGTATGGTAAAGAAAGTTCTGTCGTGGCCAAAAGAAAAAGAAAAAAAAAACTGTGACGTGCTTGTGTTTCTATCTGCTTGCTCATATTTAATGAAACATTACAAATAAATGCAAAAAGCAGAAAAAAAAAGCAGTGTCTTCTTTGCTTCTTTCTGTTGAAGGATTAGCGGATGCAGGGATCTGTCCGCGTTTCTCCTCTCCCAGTCTTTGTCTTTGTGACAGACGACATTAACCAAAAGAAAGAAAAATCCACATGGAAGAGAATTTTGCTCTCACAACTTCTTTCTATGCTTATCCGAGATTGCGCCGCATTCTGGCATGAGCTCTGGCGTCCTTTCCGGGGCCCTGCATGTTGCCTCCGCGTGAGAACCGAGGAATATATTATTTCTGCATCGTGTCTCAATATATTCTGAGAACTCATCGGATTTACGGGGCAACATGCACGTGGGAGGATGTCCAGAACCTTATTCCAGAATAAGATGTCATGTGCTTCTTAGGCCTCTAGTAAATGTACAAATGATGCAAAAAAAAACAAACAAAAAAAAAAAGAACCACATGTGCTGTATGTGATGTTACACCTGCTGAGATCACATTGTACTGTAGTCTGGTGTCATGATTAGAGTATTTGAGGATGTCACATTTGGATGATGCTGTGTCCAGTCTGTCCTGTGCTAATGAGTGACATTCTGATTCATTTGAAGGGTTGTGCTAAAACAGTACCACTACATACAACTCTGCCAGCCAATCCGAGATATTGGCTGGGTGCAGACTCTAAAGCAACACCTGTGGGGCTGTGCACTACCCAATCCCAGGTAATCAATCGCAAGAGCAAAGAGAAGAAATAGAGCTACCAACGCCACTCATTCCCATTCATACATGCTCGTGGAGTTGTGATTTACTTTTGTTTTCTATGACACAGTGGCACGGTTTTGTTTTGTTTATTTTTTATTCTGGTGAACCACCACATTATCTCTGGTCTGCTCCCCTCTGTAGTTCTCTTCCATATGGACACTAGGCTAGGGGGTGAGAGGGGGCCGTCTGCCTGCCTGCTGTCACATCCTACAGCTTCCTTAAGGTGGCTTTTCTTAAGGAGGCCGCAGGTTAAGCCATCTCCAGCCATTCTTGAGCCAGCTGCTGTAATGCACCCCGTCGCCATGGTTACAGCAAACTGCATGACTCAGTTTATCCAATTCTTCACTCAGGAAGGACCTCACTCATTTACAATGGACTGTAGTCACATGTGATACTATAAGCACTTTGCATCTTTGGTAAAAAGTTTCATATTATGTGGACATTGTAAGAATCTTTTTTTTTTTTCTTTTCTTTTCCACTCAAAATGTGTTTCTGAAGCATGCTGCCACTGTTTTCTGTTGGACCTGCAATCTGAAGTTCAATAATTGGGTGTAGGCTTTGCACTCTTGCCTAGAACATGTGATGAGTGTGAGCATGGATGTGACATGAGGGGTAAGTATGAATGGAATGAGGGAAGCGACGCTGCTTTGGAAAGAGACATTTCACAGGAAATTGTAAGTGCATGTTAATGATCTAATTTTGAATTTACTCTCATTTAAATGTGATTCAGACTTTTCCCATTCTACGCTGCATCCTGTAGCTGCTCTTGTCAAAGAACACCCCGAGACCCTCATTGCACTCTTGGCATCCTGTAGCTGGTGACGGCGCTGCGACTAAATGAACGGGTCAAAGTATAGATTGAAAGCAGCAGCCTGCATCGATCTAAATGCAAAGCTGTCCGGCGCATCGTTAGAAGTCTGTACTCCCAAGACACAGTGATGGTCTTATCAAGTCTTCAGAGTTACGTATCAGATGATTTGTTCTTCTCTAGTTTCTGTGGAGATCATCCCGAGGCCCTTTAACATTTGTGCAGCAAACAAACAATTCTCTTCAGTTTTCCTGCATATCCCCCCTTTTTGAAATGAGCGGTCACAGGGTGCTCAGCTCAACCCAATGACTTGTTGTGTGTCGCCCTGAGAGAAACGCCTCATCATGTGTCTCTTTCTGTCTCCTTCTCTGGTATCTTAACCATGTGCTGCCTCCTAGAGATGCTAAAGACGAGCTTCTCCGACCCAGTCATCATCATTCCCAGGGTGCTGCTGGAGGAGAACCACAGCCACCGATGGAGGGAGGCGAGCCTCGGCGGAGCGGCGGAGTCGTACGCTTTGCCCTAGACGTCAACCAGACTGAGTAGCGCTGCCTGTGAGGACGCAGGCAGCAACACCGTCATGCAGAGACTGCTGCTGCTCTGTGCTGTAAATACCTAGTGTTAAAAAAAAGAAAAGAAAAGAGGTGAATCCCACAAAAAAAGAAAAGAGAAAACTTTCTGCTATCCACATATTTGAAACACGCATGTTTGAAACAGCTTCTGCCTCAAAGGTTCTAAGCTGTTTGACCCATGGCATTATTGCAAAGGTGCTACATCATTTTCTGGTTTCACGCAGTTTATTTTAAGGGAATATGTCGATATTATTATTATTATTAGCCTGGATACCACACCATGAAGTGCTTATCAATCACAACAAACTGTACTGTACATTGATGGGTTTTAGTGTAAATAAATCAGCATATCTGGCAGATTGCCGTCCTGTATTGTAGTTCTTGTTATTTTTAGATGGTGGGTTTGTATGAGGTGAAGCAGCATGTAGCACAGACCCAACACATGACACCCTCAACTACACTAAAGGCAAAAACTCTGCTCACTTTTGAGATTTTGTGATATTTTGCTTCCATAACTTGTCTTCCTTCAGGCTAGTGGGGGCAAAAAAAAAACATCTAAAATACATATATTAGGTGTTTATTTTACTACGCTTTGCCTATTGGACATTTATGCAAATTAAGTGAGATTTGCATATTTACACATTCATGAAACTCATTGTAAGTAATCAGCTGGGCAAGTCCAACGGTGATATCTATTTAACTCTAACCCATAAAAGGTGGTTTATAATAAAAATGTATGGACTCATACAACATATATCTCTAAAGGCCAGTTTCTTAACATGAGTCTCCTGCTCTGGACCAGGAGGTTTCCTTTCAACAACACTTCACACCAAACATTCCAGTTTCATTCCTATTTATATTCTGAAAGTTTTTCCCCAGGCTGTGTTCATATATTATTCATATCCTGATTTTTAGACCATTTTGTTCCCAAAAATAAGGAGAAAATGGATGTTTTGTTTTGTTTTTTTCTGGCTGTTGACAGTACTTTCAGTTTCATGGAGATATAAAAAGAGATGTTGGATGGATGTGGAAACCTTTGAGTCATATGTCAACGCATGAAACAAGAATTTTGAAGCTGATGTCATCCAATGTTTACATTTCTGTTCAGTAAATTAATGTTTTTTTAGACACATTTGAAGATTTAACATTTCAGAACACTTGTTGCACCAAAAAATGTTGTTATATTGGAAGAAATCAGCTGGAAAAGTCTTATGTTTCTTGTACATGGATGAGTTTTGGTGCATATTCTCTATCTAGGATTACACTCTTTTTGATTCAAACCAGGGCTGCACGGTGGTTCAGTGGTTAGCACCGTTGCCTCACAGCTAGAAGGTTTCACGTCCCGGTGAGGACACCCGGGATCTTTCTGCGTGGAGTCTCCATGTTCTCCCCGTGCAGCTGGTCCGTTATAAGGCAGCTCTGCTTATTCAACCACATGCATCCCCACTGTACTAAAACTGAGCGTGCCGCTGTGAATTCCTGTCAGAAGTCTGCAGCAAAAACTAAAGAGCGACGCATCACCTACTTTCCTTAAAAAGCGCACGGAGCTTTTGGCAACCTTTTAAAGGTGCCTCATTAAGCAGGCGCTCATATTTCATTTATGACTTACAGTCTAGTACATAAGTGAGATTAAGAAACGGGAGGGAGGGGACTTAATGAAGCAGCTGGTTTGAGGTTTTGGTGTAAAGAAGCAGCTTCCTTGTCACAGTTCGTGTAGCTCCTCATTAGACTGGACTCTCCTCATTACTGCTGTTGGCTCTACAGGACGTGACAGTGTGTGTGTGTGTGTGTGTGTGTGTGACAGTGCAGCATCCCCTCTCAGGCATGATCACACAATGTCCACACAGAACAAAGCTGATCCAGAGGTAGCGTCTCCCCTCAGCCTGTTCTGGTGCTGAAGATCCGCTGGATCTGTGTAATTGCCCACTGAAGGATGGTTGTCTGTAACGAGCACCGGGGGAGGGGAAATAACTCCCGATCTGTCAGCCTTAATCAGCCAGTCAGTCGCCGTGATGAAACACTTCCAAATAATTTAAAGCCCAGAGGGGTGTGAGGAGATCACCGATGAGTCCAGAAGCTCTGTTTTGCATTTCTGAGTCTGTTGGTTTTTGCTGAGATGGAGATGAAATGAAGGAACATCCCCTCAAC